GAAAGCTACAGGAGCATTTAAAGCATGTTACTGTAGACTTGACTGGAAGGCGTTGACAAGCTTCAACTCTTTGCAGACTTAGCATGTAGCTTTTTACCACACAGCTATGCGAACGCTACATGTTTTTCAAATGTGAAGAGCTCTTTCCACTGGATTATCCATTGGAGGCTGCTTTTCTAGGTGTTCGAGGAGCAGCAAAAAGTTTCTAATGCTAATGTGAACAGGGCCTCAGTGTGCCTTCATTCACAGAACAATGTCCATCTAGTTAAATCTTACAATTTATATACTATTCCTGAGCTCAGGGCAGAACATTTCCACACTGATACATTGTATACTTTTAACTTACTAGCTAGTGCAGATATCATATCATTGTTATTTTTTTCCTAAAATATACACTGCTATATCATGAGATAAATAATGAAGGTGCATTTTCTTAGTGAATTGACTTAACTGATGATTTATCTCATTTTTTTTGTGGTATTTACGTCACATTTTATCAAATTACCCTCAAATTCAATATTTTACTTTGATGAATGATCTTTTTTATTATTTCATATTTCCTACAAAAACACAAATATTGCATGTGATAATCGCTAGTGAATCGACCCCCTTAGTCCTGTAAAACATTTTGGTAGTTAAATATTGGATTTTTTTATAGCTGTATTTATATCAGATCAGAAAGGAGATTTGAGAATGAGGGATTTGGTTTCAATATAGGAACTCTTAAGGGCTCTTTCGCACTGTCCTGCTGTGGTTTAGCTGAAGCGCAGTGCAGTGTACACCCGCAGTGTTCGTGCAAGTTACCCGCGGTTTCCCATATCCTTCTATTATGTCCTGTGATTTTGGTGTGCTTTCTGAAAGGCCTTTATGCTGCATCTTTGGTGCGCTTTCAGAAATCGCAGGACATAATAAAGGTCTATGAGAAATCATTTAAACTGCAGGTACACTGCACTGCACCTAAACTGCAGCAGGACAGTGTGAAAATAGTTTTGCCCTGGTTAACACAGGTTCAACTTGTCATGTGATTTGACACTTCCAAATCACATGACAAGTCGCACCCAAATGTTGACGATGGAACTGTTCAAATCGATGCAACTCCAACTTTGGGGTGTCGCACCAATTTGAAAAAAAGAGTTCATGCCTTTTTTTTTTTTTTTTTGTGATTTCAGGTGCGACTTGCATAGACATCTGTGCATGAAGTCACACAGATATCAGGCAAGTCGCACCTGAAAGTGCACTGACCTATCGCACCTGAAGTCGCACCAATTCGGATTCAGTGTGAACCTGGGCTAAGTCAAAGACAATTGAGAGGTATGCTATTCACAGCAAGATGTGCTGCTGTACTACATTATACTATGCATATTGTCTGTGATTAATAGAGGTAAATGTAAGCTTTTGCACATTTTGATCTGTGTCACAGATCCACCAGTCATCAATGCTCATCCTGCAAGTTTATTTACTAAGACATAGAAGGGAAAACAGGCAAATGGCAATATTTTGGGGAAAGGCAGTACATGTACAATGAGATGAATTTGTCAACCACTGTGTTTGCATTCATGCTTATTTATATGGAGGAATAAAACACAAACTGATCTCAAGCTGTATACATTAAGATGGCCATAAAGAGCTCAAATTCCAGCCATTTCCTGTGATTCAGAGAAAAATTCAAGCTCTGGGTGGCCCTGCTAACACCACCCAGCTTGACAAACTTCCATTGGGAAATCAAAGGAGGAAAAAAGTTGGCCAAACAGTGACTGCCACCAATCGGCTACAGTTGTTGTTCAGGTATTTTGACACCCACAGGTGCTGGCTGTCAGAATTCAACAGCTATCAGCAGGAGGTTGGTTCATCTGTGCTGTTTAGCATGGACGGGGCAATCTATATATTTCTCTTATTTGGCTCTTTGGGCTGAAAGAGAGAAATCTTTACGTCTAATGGCCAGCCTTCAGGTTCCCATTCACATTTGTGTTGTGGGCATTTGTGTTGTTGGTCAATGTCAGGCTCTCTCTGCAGAGAGGGGGGGGGGGGGGGGGTTTTTACATTGCCTAGGGCAGCACAAAACCTAAATACGCCACTGCCCAACACACCGCACCTCTCATTCACTAAGTTGTGACTGGAACTGCAACAGAGAGGAAAGTTTTTTTTGAAGACAACTGTCTTAAGCTGGCCATACACGTGTAGATTTTCACCCAAGAGTATTCGTAAGAAAATTCTTTGAATATTTGGTGAATGGACGAATGTTGTTCGAAAATTGCATTTTGCATTTAACATTTGAGTTTATAATTAATGTAATTTCTGAACTATAAGCACAAACACTGGCCGAAAATTGATTGAGAGTTTTCCTTCCTGCCCCTTCGAGTTTTCCCATCACTGTGGTCGAAAACAAACATCAATTTGACCCCACTTACGATTAGAAAATCAAATATTCTTGAAGCGCGTTTCACCGGCCATCCTGTATTCCAGGAGGCCGGCATCTTCAGTGTGGGCACCCACTGCACTTCCTCAATTGCCCTGTCATCTTCTGGGACCTGTCATGTGTCCTACAAGACTTCGGGGAGGGAGGGTAGGAGGACAACTTCTGTTCCCGATCACCTAGGCGAACGCAGCGGAAGTGGGAGCGGGTACCTGTCAAAATCGGGTACCCGTCGTTGTCCCCCCCCCCCCCCCCGCAAAGGTGCCAATCCTTAATGGGAAGCGGGGGACCAATCTTTAAAGTGGAACTTCCCCTTTTGGGTGGAACTCTGGTGGTTGTCAACCTATGAGCTATAGGGGGTCTAAAATGTGACCCCTGACATCACCCAAGGACTGCACATAAAGTTAAATATATGTAATACTTGAAAGGACTGTCAGAAACTGCAGACCTAGAGGAAATGAGGATCAGAGAGTGTGAACATGCTACATTTTTGGCTGGGGATATGCTACAGAAGATGATATGAAACTGGGAACAAGTCACATGAGACTGGCAGAGATCCCTGCTGTTACCCTAATCAATGTTCCCACTGCAGACTGCTGCAGTCCGAGGGCCGGTCATGATATAACATAGTGCACTTTGAGGCCCTCGGACCAGAGGTTGAGCACTAGAGGTCTATGGGAACATTTCCTTCACTATGGGGAGATTTCCTCTCACTTCCTGTGGTGTCTACAGGTCAGGAAGTGAAGAAAAATCTTTCCAACCTTCCCTACACTTTTGAAAATGAAAAAAGTTTGGGCTTTATGTACACTTTAAAGCTGTAATTAGGCCCTGTTCACATTACCGCGTAGTGGGAATGAGCGATTTTGACAGCATGATTTTTAGGGCAAGCTGTGTGTCGCACAGGGAAGCCCCTTCACTTGAATGGGCTGCCCTATATGTGTTTGTCACCTGAAAAGAAGCTCCTGCTCCTTTTAGGGCGACAAGCTTCACACACTTTTTAAAGGCCAGGTTTGCCACGATTGCTGCGTGATCCTGTTATGAGACAATTGTGACAGAATCACATTATGTTTTTGGTGCCATTGAAAAATAATTGCACCCTAATGCGCGCAGCGTGTGCTATGCCGTGGTTGCCACACTATTTGGAATTGCGGCGATTCTGACGACCATTCCAAATCGTGAATTATGAATGGAGCCTTCGTGGGCGCAGCTGTTTCCTTAAACACATTACACTTGTCTGTAAAACCTTTTCTTTGTGTTTTGAATTTGTGTGTATCCATATAACAAAAACTTCCACGCCTAGATTCCAGTTTCTAATGACAAAATTTGGAAACAATTAAAAATGAATGGGCTCAGATTGCACAGCACTGAACCTCATGTGAATCATTATGTAGACCTGGGCACACCAGAAATGTTTGTTTTGTTTTGAATGCATGCATTCATCGAAGGATTTTATATTGTAATATTTGTTATGTTGAACTGATTCGTTTTCGGCATTTGTTTTGTATATTCATTGCCCCGGGTGGATTCAAAAATATTTTGACGTTTTTTTTCTGCAGATTGCTATGTATTCGGTATATTATCGAATCGGACGGAGTCAAAATTTTCAGACAATGCAGGTATGCAGTTTTTTTTATCTTTTTTTGACTGCAGGCATGCAGACTGCTTCTACAAACATTTGTGAAAGAATGGGTCGCTTTGACGAGCTCAGTGAATTCAAGCGTGGTACCGTGATCGGTTGCCACCTGTGCAATAAGTCCATCCGTGAAATTTCCTTGCTACTACATATTCCACAGTCAACTGTTAGTGGTAGTACAAAGTGGGAACAACAGCAACTCAGCCACGAAGTGGTAGTCTACGTAAAATGACAGAGCGGGGTCAGTGTATGCTGAAGCACACAGTGTGCAGAAGTTGCCAAATGTCTGCAGAGTCAATAGCTAAAGACCTCCAAACTTCGTGTGGCCTTCAGCTTAGCACAACAACCGTGCATAGAGAGCTTCACAGAATGGGCTTCCATGGCAGAGCAGCTGCATCCAAGCCTTACATCACCAAGTGCAATGCAAAGCGTCGGATGCTGTGGTGTAAAGCACGCCGCCACTAAACTCTAGAGCAGTGGAGACATGATCTCTGGAGTGACCAATCACGCTTCTCTGTCAGGCAATCAGATGGACTTGTCTGGGTTTGGCAGTTGCCAGGAGAATAGTACTTGCCTGACTGCATTGTGCCAAGTGTAAAGTTTGGAGGAGGGGGATTATGGTGTGGGGTTGTTTTTCAGGGGTTGGGCTTGGTCCCTTAGTTTCAGTGAAGTGAACTCTTAAGGCATCAGCATACCAAACAAGGGCGGACTGACCATTTGGAAACTCGGGCACTGCCCGAGGGCCCGGGGTCAGTAGGGGGCCACATGAGATGCCCCTGGTACCTTTTTCATAGGCTTTTTTGAGTTTGGGCAAGGACACAGGGGCCCCATGATCCCCTATTGCCCAGGGGCCCTATAGGTTATCAGTCTGCCCCTGATACCAAGACATTTTGGACAATTTCATGCCCCCAACTTTGTGGGAACACTTTAGGGATGACTCCTTCCTGTTCCAACATGACTGTGTACCAGTGCACAAAGCAAGGTCCATAAAGACATGGATGAGCGCGTTTGAGGTGGAGGAACATGACTGGCCTGCAGAGTCCTGACCTCAGTGCATGTACTACTTTTGGTTCAATGCACTGCGATTTCAGCCCATTCATATAAATGAGTTACATTGGAATTGCACATTCAGCTGTGTACTGGCCCTAAGGCTTCTACACGCAGGAACACGCATCATGCTTGCGATGCCATTAAGGACTCATGTTCTTAGATTGTAAGCTCTAACGCGCAGGGCCCTCTGATCCCTCCTGTATTGTATTGTAATTGTACTGTCTGCCCTCATGTAGTAAAGTGCTGTGTAAACTGTTGCCGCTATATAAATCCTGTATAATAATAATGCACGTTGCAGCTGAAACAACACGGCTTTTACAGGCGTGTGACTTTTTTTCCTTCCTCTATGCACCACTCTGTGTCAGTCTATATGTCCATGCACACTATTCACGTTTACAGGCAGAAGAGGTCAGAGGAAAAAGAAAACATCATTTGCGCATCCAGAGATGAGCATTTGGGCAGAAAACACGCACAAATGTGCATGAACGTGTGTGTTTATGTGTGGGAATACATTCTAATGGCCAGGATCAATAAATATTCTGCCCCATAGAATGCATTAGGGCCAATCGCACACATAAATAATTTTTTAAGCTTCTGTTTCTCTGTGAGGAGAAAAGACGCCCAAAGGAGCAGTTTGTTGAAAATGTCATTGTTAATGGCCCCGGGTAGCTGGCAAATGGGCGTTTTGTTGCACAAGCGTGCAATATATAAAACGCACAACGCTCACTTCCTGAAAAGGTGCGGGAGCTTCTTTTGGTGCGCTTAGGGATGCCCATTCGAGTGAATAGGCCGAACTATGGAGTCACAGGTAAAAGGTGCCAAAAAAGAGCAATTTGAAGGTGTGAATGGGGCCTATGAGGTTTTATTTTAAAACTAAGGAGGGTCCCTGTAAATGAAGGGCAGTGGGGAGCAATGCACAAGCATTGGGCTAGTTATCACACACGGGTAGCTCAGCGCTGACTCTTTAGCGTCCATTGTACTGATAAATGTAGTTTTTACTCAGATAACTCCACAGACACGGCGAAGTGAGGCTGACAAACATTCCTCTCACTTCTCGTTGTTGTGATCTCTCACATTGTGCTCCTAGGAGCAACCACACAGGCAGAGCGGGGAACGGGGGCGGGGGCTCGTTTCACCGCACTCTTCCAACCCTCCAATCACCGAGTGCTTCATGCGCCCTCGGCCAATGGCCGCATTCCCGCTAGGAGACAAAGGCCTGACGTCGGCGATGACGTGAACCTGGGTATATAAGCACGGGTGGCGGGCACAGCCGTACGTTATTCCTCGCCTCGTTTGACCGTCTGGATTGTGATCGCGGGACTGATCGGTAAGTGAGCACTGCGGCGGCGCGCCATCGGCGCCGGTTCCGGTAACCGGTTCGCACTCTTCTTATTTTAGTTACTCATGTTAGAGTCATGACGTCTTAATTTTTGTTATACAGTTACCGAATTCGGTTCCGGTGCTCTCCGGTAATTTTTATTTTTAATGTAATTTTCCGGTAAATGGGGTGCTGTGACGGCATTTTAATGGCGTTTTAAGGGGGTTGGTGAGGTAGGTCCCGGTGGCGGGGTCAGACGGTAAGTTCACCCCTCCCCCCGTGTTCCCGGAGCTCGCTGGGCGCCATGTTGTCTCGTCGCTCGGGGGAAGAGGGACGAGGTTGAACGTGAGGAGAAGCTGCCCTGTAATGGTGGTTGGGGCCCCTGGGTGAGGGGAGGCGGTGCGGGGGCCCTTAGTTACGTCCCTGATAAGGTGAGTGGGGTCCCGGGGCCCCCCGGGCTCTGTGCGGGATCACACACCGGGATGGGGAACCAACAACAACAACAGCAGCTTCTTGTCGTGTTTCAAATGGCGGATCCCGCATTTCTCTCCCTCCTGACTGGAAAATGTCGTCCATCCTCTCCAAACTTCCCGCTAACCTCGCCTCTGGCCGGACAGGGGGATCGGGATTTTTTTTTCTGCCGGTACATCGCACCGGAAACTTGTTTTTCAGTTGAAAATTTATATTTTGGTGAATTTCGTGGCTGTGAGAGAGATCACATAATGGCGGGTGAGTGGAAGGTGCAGTGACAGCGAGCCGCCGCTAGGGGCGCATGCGTGCAGACTTTTATGCGAGAAGAGGGAGACGCTGAGCCTGAGCGCTGCACGCGTCGCATTCCCATCTCCCCCTCCCCCCCTCCTGTGTTTTGGTGGCGGGGTGATTCACCCCGGAGAGTCATCCCTGTCTACAGGAGGAGAGCTTTGTTTTCTTTAGGTAGATTCCGAGTTATGATTCAGAGTCCTACTCAAATCATTCATCATTGATGGAGGCTCATGCAGTAGGTGTTGCAGCAACAATGTGGATGTGAGCTGCAGCTGGATGACACGCTGCTGGAAACGTTACTTTATTACAACGAAAGTACATGGGTTGACTGACTTTCTGCTGGCTTGCTGCCATGTCCCATCTACATCCTCCATCAGTTGCAAATTTCTGGTTTTATATAGAAGAGTGACAGCAGGAAAGTCACCTGTGCAGTCTGTTCCATTTTGGATGCTTTTATATTTGTTTTTTTTTTGTTCCTGATTGTAGATCTTTGTCCCAAACACGTTTGAATCCACTTACTGTTGACAGACTCGCTACCTCTTCTGGAACTCTATTCCAAGCATTAACTTTCAGTAGAATGTCCTAGGATTAGTTTTAAACTTTCCTCCTAGTTTGTGGTCATACTGCCATGTTCTTGATCTTGGCTTTCTACTGAAAATACTGCCCTCTGACCCTTCATTGCTGTATTTCAAGGTTTCAGTGGCATCTTTTCATGTGTAGGCTTTTTTTATTTATTTTTTCTTCCCTTCAGACTACATACAAAGTTCCTGCAGTCTCTCCTGAGCTGTTGCCCCTCTGAGCTTTTGACATTTTTTGTTGCCCCTCTCTGGACTTGTTCTAGCTTAAGTCTCCAGAACTGGACACAGACTTGTAAGTGAAGTATCAGTCTAGAGGATTCAGGACCTCCTCCTACTGTTAACTAAGGCTCTGTTCACACTAGTGCAGGTGGAATCTGCTGCAGGTCCCACACTGTCCCACAGCTGTATCCACCCGTATATACCGGGGGGGGGGGGGGGGGGGGGGGGGGGGGGGGGGGGGGGGGGGGGGGGGGGGGGGGGCCCCCATTCACATAAAAACGTGAAAAAAACCCACGGGTGGGTGCCATTAATCTTAATGGCACATCGCCTACACTGTAGTGCTGGCTGTAACTTCTGGAGGGGTGCAGAGACCTTTCCCCTGCATATTGTAAGGCACGGCAGCCCATTCAAATGAATGGGCTGCCATGCTGCAGCCCACAAAACTGCACTAGTGTATACCGAGGGTAAAGGTTTATGTGGGTTATCGCAACCTCCTTCTGGTGATGCATCCTGGACTATTTGCTTCCTGGTAGGAACAGCAGAGGTCTGTGCTATGTGTCACTGCAGCCACTTGGAATCGGCTGTGTTGGCACCCTGTCACATGCACAAGCTAATTAGGTGGCTATTGTCACCCTGAACTGGATCCTTTGTGGCAGGATCACCAGCTGGATTAAATTAAAGCTGCAAAAATCTGAATATAGTAACACTTAGACAATTTTGCAGTTGTGCTTAGATTTGCTGTACAGTACATGTAAGCCAAATCACTAAAATTGGGTTAATTTGAGGTAGACTTGCCAGTTCTAAACCTGTACTTTGTGTTTTTGTTTTTTTTTTTAATCAAAGGAATACCTGATGATACTGCCACAAATGGTCTCTTCTGTTTGTGACAACACTTGCTTTGTGCTCCTGCTTTTTGCAGTGATCATGGAAATGTGGTTACATATTAACATGATCATCAGGACTCCCACCATGGAGTGCATGTAAGTGATTGCAAAGTTGCCACAGGAGGCTAGCAGAACAGATGCAGCAAAAGGGGTAACCAAATCAAAACCATTTTCAACATGGGTACGCATGGTGGTGCTATTGGCACACTGTGTGCATATGGTGTAGGGAATGCTGCACTCTTGTGCAGTGCTCAGGATCTCACAGGCAGTTCACATAGTAAAGTACAATCACTTTATGCAGTCAGACTGATACAATTTGTGTGTTTTTTTTTTTTTTTTTTTTTTTTTTTTTTTTTTATATTTTTAAAGTGTGCTTTTTCATTTTGCATAAAACTAACTTGCATGGCTGTTTGAAAGACTAGTTATGGGAGAACTGCAGAACTTGCTGATGTATTGTCTAAATTGTTTTTTTTTTAGATTTTGTTGAACAATGGCCCGTACAAAGCAAACTGCCCGTAAGTCAACTGGAGGAAAGGCTCCCAGGAAGCAGCTGGCTACTAAAGCTGCCAGGAAAAGTGCTCCCTCCACAGGAGGTGTTAAGAAGCCTCACAGATACAGGTAATGACCTCTGCCTTGATGGGTTATCTGGAGCCTCTGTTATCCATAGCTTAGTAACATGTTTTATTACAGTGACCTCAACACTTGGTCTGTCTTGGGGCATATTCACACTATATTGGCATTATGTTATTGCCATGTGTTAACTTGCATTAAAGCAGCCCATTCAGCTGCCTATGCATCAAAAATGGAGCATGTAGCATTGTAGGACACCATGTGCTTTAACGCATGTCTTAGCAAAGTGCTTTGATGTCGTCCAATATCAATGGCACCACTTGTGTTTAATGTGGGTTCTTGTGGTTTTTAATGTCCTTAAGTCATCCTTAAATGTTGAAGCTGCTGAATATCTTTTGAAACAATGCCAGTTTACTGGCTTCAGCACGTGTCCCCTGTCCCAGGACAAGCAAACAGATAGTTGATGCTCTTAACTGCTTACTTGTCAGTGACATATTGTACAGCATGTACAGACACATCTGAATGTCCATGCAAATTCACAAAGTTTAGTAATTGCAGCCTGTTAGAACGTCATCGCATGCGAAGCTGTATTGAGGGACCCTCAAACAATGTCTGTCACAAGTTAATGTTGCTTGATGTATCTGGCCTAATCTTAGTTGTGGGCACATGGCAACTGTAACTCAAGATGGTGTACTGAAGACAATCTCTAAATATCACTACTTTTGTGTTGTATAGTTTGTCTACCCTACTTGGTTTGGAGCCTTCTTGTTTTGATGTAAATTGGAATGGGGCAGCAGGGTGACCCAGAGAACTGTTACTTATTAGTTATGTTGATGCTGAACACGTGAACTAAGAATACTGAGGACTGCTGATTGTTATGAAATACAGCCACTGATGTGCCTGAACATGCATGGTTGTAGCAGAATGTTCTTCTCGATTTTTTTTTTTTTTTTTTTTTTTTTTTTTTTTTTTTTTCCCCAGTGCTCAAACAATGTTTGGTGTTCTGATTGAACAAAGCATATGCACTCCTGCTGGAAACCACCCACTGCCTTCTATACTGCTGTGGTTTGGAATGGAAAAGCTTGGGTTTTGAATGGGTTTTAGTGTGATCTTCTACATAACTTAGACTAGTTTGATACAAACTTAAAATGTTTGTATATATTTTTTTTTTTTTTTTTTTTTTTTTTTTTCTGGTTGCCTTGATGAAATGTGCCTAATTGGTAAAAATTGTCAGCTAATGAGTGGATTAGGTCTGGCATTTTGCACAATGCAGGAAATGGCATCCTAACAACCAGTGATTTGGTTGATGGGGAGGATGGCACCTGCTCAGGATCCTTGTTTGCCCCTGTCAGCACTTGTCATGTTTGAGGGGGAGAATAGAAACACTGGAATACTAGTAGGTACAAGTTTTCAAAGGTGGCAGAATAAATTGCCTCTAATGTTGAGTGTCTCACTTGTGTGGATGCTGCTGTGGTATTGATTTAGTTTCTAAGTTAAAATAGGATGCTTCAAGATTTGTCAATGTTTTCAGTCATGGCATCCTTTTTAATTTTAGCACAAACATCGCTTTAGGTTACTGAATGGTACTGATAAAGGTAACTGGCATGGCTTGTGAAGCTGAACAGTGCTGCTCTAAATCTCAACTTTTTTTTTCTTTTTCCATAGGCCTGGTACTGTGGCTTTGAGAGAAATTAGGAGATACCAGAAGTCCACTGAGCTCCTGATTCGCAAGCTTCCATTCCAGCGTTTGGTGAGGGAAATTGCTCAGGACTTCAAAACTGACCTGAGGTTCCAGAGTGCAGCTATTGGTGCTCTGCAGGTGAGGACTAATAAACATATAAAACCACTAAAGTATGAGACATGATCTGAAGCATTTGCATGGCTTTTGGCTCTGTATACTGATTTAGTTCAAATTCTTTTTTCAGGAAGCAAGTGAGGCATACCTGGTGGGTCTCTTTGAGGACACCAACCTGTGTGCTATTCATGCAAAGAGAGTAACAATTATGCCCAAGGACATCCAGCTAGCAAGAAGAATCCGTGGGGAACGTGCTTAATTTTTTTTTTTTTCTGGAAACTGTTTTTGATCTTAGATTTTTTTTTTTTTTCTTTTTTTTTTGTTTTTTTACAAATGTACATAAAGTGTGATGTCTCCTTATTTTATAAAGGGTTTGTTAACTGTAGAGTAGTTGACAGTAAATTGGTAGTACACATTTTATATGACATTCCCTTAATCCTCAGGTTTTTCAGAAAATTTGTATCTGCAGCTAGTCTACTTCTGTGGCCCTGCCCATTTAAGAGTCTGCATGCCTTGGCTCCATTCTCTCCATACTTTGGTATCTTTCAGTGTAACTCCATTGTAAATAAACTTTCCACTACCTCAATGGTCTTGCTGTCTTGAGATTGAATTGGGTTGAAACAAAAGCTCCCCACAAATGGGATTTTAAGTTGCTTGTTACAGCTTTGGCCAATTTGTACTAGTGGCAAAGAATTACAAAAATGAGCATGGTAGTATTACATTTAGACATGCCACATGGTGCTAGGGTTTTTGGTGGGTAAACATAATAGATTTTCCTAAATTCTTGTGGTTTTTTTTTTGGTCTGAACAAAATTCAGAGTTAAATATTAGATCTAGGAGATAGCTGAACACAAGTAGTCTGGTAAGCTGTGCACCTGGGACTTGGTGCATTCTTCACAGCATGCTATAATTTAAAATGCAATAGCTTATAGATGCACATTTTGGTATCAATGTGCAAGTGTCTGAAATGTCTATCCCATCATGAAACAAATGTTCCAACCGTTTTTTTAAATATAATAAATCTGCTTACCTGAATTTTCATCTTGGCTTGTTAAATCTCCTCTGACCAGTCTGTGAATGAGCAGTTTGGTGTAGTATATAATTATGGTTGTGACTGCCACATAAGTATCTCTCATGTGACATACTGTATCACTCCAACTTGCTATTCGCAGATTATAGAATAGCCCTGTTATACAGGTTGTGCTAGAATTTGAGTGCAGGTGTACTGCACTGCTTCATAAATCCTATGGTTTTGGATGGATTTCATAAATGGATTTGGTCAGGCTGGTAATGGCTGCCTCAATGTGTTTTCCCAACATCATATGCCTGCTACCACTTTGCATTGTTACTGGGTGTAAAGCAGAATGGTGATGTGTACTGGGACACAAAAGGTGGTAGTTTCCAGAGCCATATGTAATCTGGCAGGTTTTTTTGCTCTGGTGGAATGGTGAGCAAAAGTGAAAACATAAGGTGTGCCATTGGGAAGGAGGAATTGCATGCCTGGTACAAGTGAAGTTGGCCCTGAGACTTGACAGTTCAGGCTATACCATGCCTTTGTTTTGAGAGGTAAGTGGGGTGGGTATGTTTTTTTTATTTATTTTTTTTTCTTCCCCCCCCCCCCCTCCCCCCCCCCCCCCCCCCTTGTGGTTTTTTTGGTCTGAACAAAATTCAGAGTTAAATATTAGATCCCCCCCCCCCCCCCCCCCCCCGTCCTCCTCAGTCAAGCCAAGTTAATGCAAGTAGGTGACTTTAGTGCTACTAGCTTTATATTAACACTACCTAAAGGCTATTAGCACTTCACAGTCAAATTCCTGCATGTATGTCTTCACTTCATTTAATGTATGTACTTGCAATGCTTATAGCTGCTTAGTCTGTATCCCTTCACCAAACAGCTTGCATATGCCAGTGCTAGTTTCTGATGGCAGCCTAGGTCTGTTGGAAGGCCTACTCATGCAGTGGCCTAAAAAAAGCAGTCTGCAGTGGATTTCTTTTCAGAGGAATTTGACAGGCAGCTCAGGTTAAATGACTCCTCCACAACCTTTAATTGAAAGCCTGTTGTGCTGTTCTGGAATAAATTGCATTACACATGGTTACAACCCATTCACTTAATGATTCATTTGGTGGGATCACTGCCTGATGAATGAGTGGGTTTTCCAGTGTATGAGCATGGGCAAATGCCTATGTTAAACCTAATCGTTAAAGGGTTGATGGTTAAGCAATTTCACTGCCATTCGCCTGTAATTTAAGTATCACTAAGCTTTATCTCAAGCTGGCAATATGTGTATCAAGGATCAGCTGAATTTTGATCCCTGTATGGGTGGAGAGGCTGTAGAATTTATCTTCTAATCAATGTTCTTCTAATCAATGTTCTCTACGATAACCCTGTTGGGTTCTCTACGATAACCCTGTTGGGTTCTCTACGATAACCCTGTTGGGTTCTCTACGATAACCCTGTTGGGTTCTCTACGATAACCCTGTTGGGTTCTCTCTACGATAACCCTGTTGGGTTCTCTACGATAACCCTGTTGGGTTCTCTACGATAACCCTGTTGGGTTCTCTACGATAACCCTGTTGGGTTCTCTACGATAACCCTGTTGGGTTCTCTACGATAACCCTGTTGGGTTCTCTTTGCTCCTTCGGAAGGGAAGGTCTCCACTGTCAGGATACAAAAACTCAGCAGGGAGCATACCCCCCCCCCCCAACAACCATGCAGATGGTGGAATCCATTTAGTGATTTCAAAAGCACGATGTGAGTGCAGCCTTAATTTAAATCCCGAAAACCAGTGTGCTCACTCTAAGAAGCAGGTTTTTTTTTTTTTTTTTGGTGCATTTCTGTCAGGTTTAACTTTTTTTTTTACTTGCGTTTTTTAAATGTTATTAAAGGCAAATGTGTGGTTTTTTTTTTTTTTTTTTTTTTTTGTTACCCTACCATATACCTATTGATGGCATGCCTCCAACCTACTGATTTCACAATTCCAAAGAGTGCAATGCTGTGTAAATTTGCAAATATCAAACTTTTTTACAGTAATAGTGTAAATTGGAAGAATGAACAGTATTACAAAAAGGTAATTTTGAAATTGACAGCAACATGTGTCAAGGTTGAGACAGGGCAATGTTTACCATAGCGTAGCATCCTCTTTGCAACACTAAATGTCAGAACGGAGATCAGTTGCTGGAGTTTTAGGATAGGTATGTTGTCACTTTCTTGCCTGATCATATGCTACATTAACAACTTCCTGAGGATTTACACCGCCCCCCCTCCCCCTCCTGACAAGGCCAATTTTTGCTGTTCTGCACTACACTATTTCAACTGTTTGGGTACAGCATTGCATGACCATACAATTTTTCCTCACAAATGGCTTTCTTTTAGTGGTTTTTGATAACCTGTGTGCTTGTTTATTTTTTGCGCTATAAACAGACAAATTATATTTTTACTTTCTGCTATAAAAGAAATATACAGTAAACTCAGTCATAAATTTAGGCCAAAATGTGTTCTGCTACGTTTTTGGTATTACAAAATTCCAATAAATGTATATTGATTGTGTGAAAGTTGGTGTCTATGAACTATGGTATAGGTACTGCAATTTACACTCTTTTCCTATACAGCATTAGTTTAACAATTTGCTGCCTGCCCACAGTACTTTTACTGTGGCAGGGTGGCTCCGCTGCACAAAATCACATCAGCCCCCCACCTAGTAAAACACTCCCATCCGTTAACATTTTTCATTGCCCCAAATGTTAACCCATCCCTCCCCAGTGCCATTAGTAGTCAGTGTTTTTTGTTTTTTTTTTTTTTTTTTTGCACTATTAATGTCACTGGGGATGTTGGTGTTAGTCCACCCATGTCAAATTCAATTACCTGTACTGTCATTTGTAAATGCTGTAACTGTCACATAAACCAATTAATTTACACAGATTGGGTCTTTTTTTTTTTTTTTTTTTTTTTTTTTAGCAAAGACATCAGATTACATTTTGGCCTAAAATTTTTTGACTTTTTTAGTGCAAAAAAATAAATGCATAGGCAGTCAAATGCCAGCAAAAGAGCTCAATTTGTGGGAAAAAGATGTAAATTTCATTTGCGTGCAGTGTTGCATGTCTGCACAATTGTCAGTAACGCAGAGCTGTGACTCAAACCTCTTCTGTAACTGCCCTATAGCAGAAATACTGAGGGCAGCACAGGTGCGCAAAATCATGTGTATATACATGTGATTCACACTCCTGTGGTTTTCACACCACTCCCAGAGAATGTCAGATTGCCCTTCAGTACACCAGTAATAACATTTACCGCTTGTTTGTCAGGAACACACTCATACACCATAAACCTCCATCGCTAGTATAGTGTCTGAACAGATCAATCTTTGCTCAGATCAGCACTATACCAGCATTCGCATCCCCAAAAGTACATTAGCGGGATCAACCCTGGAACCTGCATTTAGTCCCTATGCTTGCCCCCTCACCTCCCCTAGCAAGTGCAGTCAGTAGGTCACTGTCACTTGATACATTGCACACAACTGCAGTGTTCACAGAATCGGCATCTGTACTTCACTGCCCAACCCAGAATTCAGGTGGAAATGGCAAATTAACTACTCCCCTCTTAGTGGTGTGGTGGTTTTTTTTTTTTTTTTTGTTTTGTTTTTTGGGCATTACTTAAAAAAAAAAAAAAAAAAAAAAAAAAAAGTGGTGGTATTGGTCCAGAGAGCTGATTCATCATGTCTGCGTTCTCTGCTGCCATGGCAGGCATAGGTATGAGAGTATGTGTTTTATGCATTTCAATGACAATACACTGTTGTCATTGGTGTGACCCTGAATTTGACTGGCTCAACAAAATTTGGCCCCTCGTAAATCATGTCAACCAAAAATTTGCATAGGTCTATACTCCCCAGCAAAACATCTGCGTTGAGTCCCTAGTTTTTCTGGCTGCCTTCCATTCAATTTCTCCCCAGCAAGTTGCCAGATATGGGGGGCAAGATATAAGACGTCTGAGGGTAACAGGCTATACATATAAGTTTTGGATTTGAGGGAAGAGTCATGTGGAGGCCCTGGATGCCCAGAATACATGGGGGGGAGCAGTGGCAGGGTAGTTAGGATTGCACCAAGTCCCATTTTCCATATGGGGTACCACTTTTACATGGATAAGTTTTTTTTTTTTTATTCACACGTGCCACTATCTAGACATTTGTACAATCTTGGAATTGGTGCATGTGGCACTGCAACCTAATGTTAGGTTATACCAGGATGATGTCTACAGCTGCAGGCATC